CTCCCCGCAGCCGCGCCTCGGGGCGCCCAGGCGGGCGCCCACGTGGCCCCAGGGGCTGCGAGACCCAGCGCTGGACTCACCGCTGCCTCTGGGTTGGGGGTTGAGGCGCCAAGTAGAGGAAGAGGGTGCAGTGAGAACAAGAAACGGCCAGGGGTTGGAGAAGTGCCTGGAAAGTTATTTGTCATCACTAGGGATTGCAAAACACACGAAAATCTGGTATTGACTTTCCAAAGTCCTCTTCTCCCGCTAGGGACCTAACTTAATTTTTTTTAGAAGGTTAATTCCTGAAATTTCTGAAAGCCTCTCCAGATGTTGTGTGGTTTGATCTTACTTTATATGACTTTTTAAAGTAGTCTTTGATGCCATGGGGGCTTTGGAGAACTCCAGAACCCACCGGGGGAAAACAGTTTCCTTGCTTCACTCTGGGTTTTGATCAAATTTACATAGTTATGTAATCATTTTGTCTCCGGGTGGGCAGATCCTCAGGGAAGATTGTTCTTGCCGTTCTGCTGATAAAAGGTGGATTTGTTCCGCACACCTAGTTTCTAAGTTTATGGTCAAGCAAATTGCTTGTGTTGGCGGACTGATTCATCATTTTTCACGTAGAGAAAGATCGAATTTATACGAAGGAGTTGTAGACTCAGCAAAAAATATCCAGCTGATAATGAATAATAACTACATAAAATCCAGGCATTAGACCAGAACTTTTCCTGCAGTCAGAGTGCTGTACCTCTCCACTGGTAGAATCTTTAAAAGCTTTGCTCTTCCACTTCCTTCCATCTTGTATACCACTGCCAGGTTAATTTCTCTAAAATACCACTTTTACAGTTTCTGAAAGGCACTTCCTTGCTCCAAAACGTTCAGTGGCACCTCTAGAGATATTAAACCCAGTCTTAAGTCCTTCGTGTTAGTTTTGCTAGAGGTTGCCTACGCCTGAATCTCAGCCACTTGGTAGGCAGAGGTGGGAGGATCCATTGAGGCCAGGAATTCAAGTCTACAATTAACTGTGATGGTGCCACTGCACCACAGCTCTGGCAACAGTGAGATCCTGTCTCTAAAAACAAAAAGCTAGGGGGGCGTAGAGGGGACATTTAAATCATACATAGAGCTGCCCTTCCTACCTATTCAGCCCTAACTTTGATTTTTCTGTGTTGTGAATTCTTAGCCTATGTTCTAATCAGGTTAATTCACCCGTTTGTTTTTTTATCATATACACTTTATTTGTGTTGTTTTTCCTAGAACAGAGCTGGGTAATAAAAATACAATATCAGCCATATATACAAATTTATTTTCATGAGCCACATTTTTGAAAGCAAAAAACTGAAGTGAGTCTTAGTGTATTTTATTTAATCCAATGTGCCCAGATACACTTCAACTAAAGTCACTATAAAAAATTGTTGAGATGTTTTGCATTCTTTTTTTCATAATCAAATGTGTGTATTTTACACTGAAATCACATCTCAATTTGGAGTAGCCATATTTCAAGTGGTTAGTGGCTACCTTATTGGATGGCACAGTTTTAAAATTTGAAAATTCTAAAATTCTTCTATGGGAATTCTGTGCTTTCTAAATTTCAATTCCGTGAACTATTCTCAAACTTCGGCAATCTGTCCTGAGTTTATAATTGTGAAGCAGTCATGCTGACCCTTGCAGAATGTGTCTTCTATAGTAGTTTCTTCTGTTGTTTGTACCTGTTCATTGAAATTACTACTTTAGGTAATACAGATTCAACTACATTGGGGGGGGCAGTAGGAACAAACTTTGCCTAGGCTTACTTTACCTTAATATATTTACATTTTAAATTTTAAAAAAATTTGTTTTTATTCAACCAGCTTTCTCTGGTTGAATGAATTTTAATTTCTTTGTCTCCTCTGGGCCACCATTCCTGACTCTCTCTTATCCTCATACTGAATTGTTTTCGAAGCTTCTTTTTCAGTACCTCGAGTCTTTGCTCACTCTTCTCTCCTTAGACCAGGATATTTCTTGCCTGGGTTCCTGCAGCAGCACCCTAACTGGTCTCCCAGGCTCTGTCTCGTGTTCTTCCCTTCATTCTCTGTTACAGCAGCCGTGATCTTTCTAAAATGCGAATCTGTCATTTTTATTTTAGCGCGTAAAAGCCTTTTTTAGGAGAAAGTCTGAACTCAGTCAACTGGCTTACAAGGTTTGAAGGATGTGTAGGGAAACGGTTAGGGCAGGGTTCCAGGGCTAGGAAGGAGATTGCCAAAAGCCCTGGGAGGGATGTGTAAATGTCAGGGAAGCTGGAGTTCCAGGAAGGGAATAGAGAATTAAGTTGGGAGTGCCAACCCGGGCTGTATCCCGAAGGGCCTTTTAAACCTTGTTAATGAATCTAGACTTTATATTAGGGGGATAGGGATTAGTCCTCAAAATGAGGCTCCCTACTGTGGCAACTCCTGGATTGTAACTGGTTTGCCTAATGGCTGCATCCGCCACCTCGTGATGTGACCCCCGTCCAACTCCGGAGTCTTCTTACCTCCCTCCGTTCCTTTCTGCTCCTTAGCTGCATCCTCCATCTGCAATATACACTCCCAGAGCTCAGCCCAACTGAGCACGTTTTTCACCACCTGGTGTTTATGCACCACCACCACCACCACCTACCCCTTCTGACCTTTGGCTACATTCTGATCATTCTTCAGCTCTCTACCTAGTTGTTGCCTTTGCTTATTACGGTGTATTATTTAATCTCAGCTTCCCTTGAGAGCAGGAACAAGTTCTTGTGTATGGGCGGATCCCCAGAACCTGGTGTGTGGATACGCTGACAAAATGCTGGTGCTGAGAATGAATCGGTGTTCTGGGAGCATGAGGGGTGGTCTCTGCCTTTGCAGATCTTATGTTCTTAAACTTCCACTATGTTTGATCTTCTTCGGTAGCATTCTTTCTATTCAAGAGGGTCTGCTTCTCTTTGGGTCTTGTGACCAGCATCAGAATTGGATTCCTTTGTGCTCACTTGTCACGGTGTCTTACAACTGTTAGTGAAGAGAAAGGGCTGGGGGAGGGTAGGATTAAGAAATAGAGAGGGAGGCTTCCAAATGGGCCAACATAAGTGCATGGCAGTGCCTCCTCTGGCACATTTGCTTGAAATCAGGAAACCCATGTGGCTGAGCTCTCTCCTTTTGCCTGCTGTAGAAAGCTAAAGTCAGGGAGAAGAAAGCATCTTCCCCTCCCCCTGCAGGCTAGTTTAGATAATCCAGTTGTGAGTGTGTCCGTGAAAATATTACTATAGCTAAATTAGTTTTAACGTGTCCTAGGTTTAACTCTGTTTCAGTTTTGCCATGTGAGAGGCAGGTTAACAGTAGGAAGAACCCAGGATCTGATATCAGAATACTTAGGATTTTGTCTGACTCTTCCGTTTCCTAACTGCATGACCTCAAACTTTCCTGGTGTCCTAATTTCTGTAATCATTTACATAATTATAATTCTTCATCAGATAATTATGTGAAGCAGATGTGATGATATGTGAGGATACTTTGTAGAATATAAGGTCCAGTGCAGATAATTTAATTTTACTGAGTTTCTTACTTAGCCACTCTTTATGCTTTCTGATTCGTCATTCTAGATCATTGAGTCTTTAATATTCAGGAAATTTTTTCTCAGTCTGATATGTTTCCATTTTATTTCCACAGTACTGAACATTGGTAAAAAACTGTATGAGGGTAAAACAAAAGAAGTCTATGAATTGTTAGATAGTCCAGGAAAAGTCCTCCTGCAGTCCAAGGACCAGATTACAGCAGGAAATGCAGCTAGAAGGAATCACCTGGAAGGAAAAGCTGCAATCTCAAATAAAATCACCAGCTGGATCTTTCAGTTGTTGCAGGAAGCAGGTAAGTGTTCCCTCACAGGGTTGCCTCACTCCCTTCTCTCTCACACATGATCTCTTTCATGGGAAGTTGGCATCATTTAGAGTCACAGCGTGTTCTAAGATGTCTCACAAGCAAGCTCAAATCAAACCAAGAACTTCTAAACTTCACTGTAACACTTGGTTTGGAATTAGTGGTATTTAGTTCAAAGGAGTCTTTACAGTTTGCTGAATCCTTATCTGGTGTCTGTATTCCCTACGTAGCTTCTCCAAGGCTGCCTTAGTTTCAAGGAACTAACTGACCTAGGAAGCAAGCCCATTTTAGTGTTGAGTAGCTCCGACTGACGAACTGATGTACACCCTGTATTTCTGTAAAACAGTGCTTTGTTCTCCTCTTGAAGACAATGTAGAATTTCAGATTTCTCTTCCAAAAGCCCTGAAAGTATTCAAAGACAGCATCCATACCTTTTCTTCCTGCCCTTCCCCATGGGAGGGATTTGAACTAGACCAAGGAACTCCAGAGTTTTCTCCTGCTCAAAAAGTGAAAGAAGGCTCTATTTGCAGTAGAAAAATGGATTCAAAAGAGCAAATTAAGTTCAGAACATTGAGTGGAGGGTATTCGGATCTAAGGAAAGGAAATTAGCAGAATAGGTTTCTCTGCAGGGATTTGGTCAGCTGCTGGTTGGTCTGTTGTGTGTAAGACTTGAGCTCTTTCCCTGCAGTTTAAAAGGACTTCTTGCCTGGGGTCATTCAACCTTTGAAGCCTCCCTTCTATAAAATAACAGCCTTGTTCTTTATCATCTCTGCCTGTTCTAGTTTTATATTTAGTAACTTTCTTTTCTACTACTTCCAAAATTCCCGATTGCCCTTTCATTTCATAGAGGTTTCAGTAAGCACTAATCTTTCTTAAATTCAGAGAGGGCTTTAAAACTTGGTTCCAGTCTGCCTTCCACAGAATAAGATAATTCAAGTTAAATCCATTCAGTCAGTATATTTCTGGAGTAGTTTTGCCTCTTCCAAAGTATCCTATTGTACATTTTTAGTGTGAAAAAAATGTTTACTTCCAGAGAGCATCAAACTAATGATAGGTTCCTTTTACAGTACAGGTAAGTGTTCCATCTATTGTTTGTCTCCCAAGTTATCTCCCTCTCCCAGTCCACTTGAAAACTTTTTTTGTCCTTAACCCTTTAAAACATTAGCAGTGAGAAGGCTAGGTATGGTGGCTCACTCCTATAATCCCACCACTGTGGAAGGCCAGGGTGGGAGGATTGCTTGAGTCCAGGAGTTTGAGACCATCCTGGGCAACATAGTGAGACCTTGTCTCTACAGAAAATTAAAAAATTAGCCAGGTATGGCAGTGCATACCTGTAGCTCCAGCTCCTTGGGAGGCTGAGATGGAAGGATTGCTTGAACAGGAGGTTGAGGCTGCCGTGATGCGTAATCATGTCATGCATTCCAGCCTGGGTTGCAGAGTGAGACTCTGATTCAAAAAATATGTTAGCAGTAAGAAAATTAGTTTCTGTGTACCCTTCATAGTTGCACATAGCTGTGGGATCATATATATACTTTTAAATAATGAAAGATAAAGCCCAAGCTTTTATTTGCTTATTCAGTAAGGCACTATTCCATGTACCTTCCAGGGCTTTACAGTGAGTGAGCTGGGGTGACTCAGTTGTGTATTTTTGTCCAGAACTTTTCTGGTTTTAACTGTGAGGGTGCTGTCCCCAGAGGAACTGGGAAAGTGGTTACCTAAGTGAAGTACTCCAATAATTATCTTAATTACTTAACGTAGCTAAAATTTAATTGGAAATGTTGAGATATATTTTTCAGGTTTTGTACATAGTAATATGAAATTAAGGAGAACCTCAATTTAAAAAAATTCCTAAACAGATTAGTTTTAGGGGACAAACGTGCTTCTGAATGCTGTATCTAGTTGGCCTCCAGTGGGCTATTTAAAACTGCTTTCTTTATAGCCAGGGTTACATTCTGAATTAAAGTATTTCTAGAAAGTAGATTGGGAAGGGTATTGGCATGAGAATCAGAAAATCAAGATTTCCCTTTTCTCCTTGTTGTTCATGAGTGAATGGTAAAGTACTGTACAAAGAATAAACAACAGTCTTTTCCCAGGGAAGTAGTATTTCATTGCTGTCCCTTAGTTATGCAATTTGTGGATTTGGTCTCATTACTTAAAAATCAAAATCATGCCTTCCCGGTGATGATTAAATCCCAGCTCCCCCACAGGTGGTAATAGTGATGGGAACAGCATTCCTATAGTTGCTAGCCCACAGGTGGGGCTCTGGTCAGCCTTAAGAGGGACTGCCATAGGGATACGTGGGCTGATTGGCTAGAAGACAGGATCATTGTAATTCACAGTATATAAGTGACATTCCCACTTTTTTGGTAACCTGGATTGGAGTTTTGTATTTTGTAGACTGGGACAAATGGTGGGAGATCTTTCTCACCATATGCAGTCATGAAATTTGCTTTAAGGATTAGCAGTGTGTGTTATAAGCCATCGTTATATCTTGTGAACCAAGTCTGTTTTAGAAGCTATTTTTTGTTCTGTACAGAGATTACCATAAGTTGACTATGTACTTTTGATTATCTTAAACGGTCATGGTGGGGGGGAGTGTCTCTGAGTAGTCAATTTGTTTATATTGAACAATCATAAGTTAGTCTGTTTATATTAACAGTAGAATTGGACACCACTCCAGCTTGCTAGACAAATGAGCAAATATAAGTCATGATTAACTGACCTAAGAAAGAAGAGCTCTTGAAGCCAAGCATGTAGTTTCCATCCCAAGTTAGGATTGATTTAAATCCCTGGGCTGCCCATGAGCCTGGTCCTTCACTCAAGGTTAAAATATACATCAAATTACATCTTTTTTTTTTCTTCGGAGTTGGAGTCTTACTCCATCACCCGGGCTGGAGTGCAGTGGCACACTCACGGCCACCCCAGCGTCGACCTGCTGGGCTACGGTGATCTGCCTGCCTCAGCCTTCCAAGTAGCTGGAACTACAGGCATGTGCTACCATGCCCAGCTATTTTTTATTTTATTGTAGAAGTGAGGTGTCACCAAGTTGTCCAGGCTGGTCTTGAACCCGTAGGCTCAGACAATTCATTTGCCTTGGCCTCCCAAAGTGCTGGGATTACAGGCCGAGACACGGAGCCTGGCCAATTTAACCATTTAAAAATATCAAATTCAGTGACCTGTGCTTTCAGTCTGAATCTGCCTATTCTAGGTACCTCATGTAAGTGGAATCATAAGTATCTTTTTGCATCTGGTTTATGTCAGTTAGCATAATGTTTTCAAGTTTCATCTGTATTATAGCATTGTCTAGCAGGAATTTGAATCCTTCTTATGACTAAATGATCCATTGCACATGCAGTCATTGCTGTATAACATTGTTTCGGGCATACAAAGTGTTGCTTTAAAATTACCATAGGATGTTTTTACTGTATGCTTTCCATGTTTAGATACACACGTACATACTTTATGTTACAATTGCCTACAGTATTCAGTACAGTAATATGCTTTACAGATTGTAGCCTAGGAGTGTAGTAGACTATACTACCTAGGTTTGTTACTCAATGACAAAATGACCTAAGGATGCATTCTCAGAACAGATGCCTATTGTTAAGCAATGTGTGACTATGTAAACTACATTTTGTATGTGCATTCATCTGGTGATAGACATTTGTATTGTTCTTCCTTTTGGCTGTTATGGATAATGCTACATTTGGCCGGTATGGATAATGAACATTGTTGTGCAGGTAGCTATTTGAGTCCCAGATTTCAATTCTGGGTTCAGACCTAGAAGTGGAATTACTGGATCTTGATACATTTTTACTATCATTAGAGAGGTTTTTAATTTTCCAAGGCCACCACGTAAAATAGTTTCCATCCCAAACATCACAAGTCATTTCTTTGTTTTAGTTTTCCAGTAACAGTGAATGAGAAAGAAGGGAGAGGAAGGACAATTTTTTTTTCCCCTCTTAGCCAAGGTGACTACTGTGTTAATGCTGCTACCTCTTGGATGCTTTTCTCAAGGAGTGTTTGCTTTATACATTAAGAGAAAAAGGCTATTTTAGAATTTAGAGCTGTTACTGATTGGGATAAATTGATTGATAGTTACAAGGCCCATGTAATACTGGACTTTAAATATGAGATTCCTGCATTCAAATCAGATTTAGAGACAATTTTGTGTCATTTTATGAGTTATGTGCAAAGTTAGATACTCAGTAGCAGTGTTTTGTTATTCAACAAATACTTCTTTGTTGAATTAATGACTGAATGGTAAAGACTCTGGGACCCAGATCTCCTGGTCTAGCCATGTGACATGAAATGAAATATTCATTGATTTTTTTAGAGCGTCGGAAAGCCATATTTTGTTTTCCTACTTTTACCTTTTTAAAAAATTACATTTTTAAAAATAGAGCTTCCTTGTTTCTTGTAAAGGGTAAAATTTTATTGTGCCTCAGATCTACTTTCGTAAGTAAAATTTCAATGCCTTTTCTTTTTTTTAAACTTACATCATCAATGTGTAGGCATCAAAACTGCTTTCACCAGAAAATGTGGGGAAACAGCTTTTATTGCACCCCAATGTGAAATGATTCCAATTGAATGGGTTTGTCGAAGAATAGCAACTGGTTCTTTTCTCAAAAGAAATCCTGGTGTCAAGGAAGGATATAAGTTTTACCCACCTAAAGTGGAGATGTTTTTCAAGGTAATTATTTTATGCTTCTGTTTGATGTCTTACTATATATGATGTAGCGGCGGGCTTATAAATACAAATGCAAAAATATTTAGACATTATAAAAGCTTTTGATATTGTACATGTCATCCAGAAATTTATGTCAGTTATGTACAGTTCCATTAGCAATGATAAGTCAGATTTTTAAAAGAAAGTGTCTGAAAATATACTTATCTTTGCACAAAGATGGATAACAAAATGAACAAAAGCAGTTATAGGAAGAAGAAAAAAATAATAATCCCAAATTTTAAAAAATTTACTGTTGAAATCTTTTAATATTCCAATACATGAAAACTGTACTGTCAATGTCTCCTGTAAGTTAAAATATATACAATAAGGAATAAAGGAATTATTGGTTATATATTTTTATAGGCTTTATTCAGGACTATTTATTCCTTTTGATTTATGCTGTCATGCATAGAGTTTCTGCTTTGGTAGAAGTATCAGTGTTGCATTTGTAATCAGGGAGTTGTATAACTTGTAAAGTTCTTACAAACAGGTCAGAGGGTTATGAGAACTGTATTTTGGAAGGGTTTGATTGATTGAAATGTGTTTTGGCCTTCTTGTTCCTGATGGCTCTTACTTAAGGAAAAATAAAAGTCACATATATTGGTTGTAAGTTGGTTTATAGAGAGAGGACAAAGTCTTCAAAATATTTTATGTCCTAGAATATGTTATTCACCTAAATGGTTTCACCTAAATAGTCTGAATTTTAAAGTAGTTATTGGAAGAACAAAAATTAAGAATAATCGCTTTGGATTAAAGAGCATTGTAACCAAAAATATTTTCAGAGAAAATAAATATTCCTGAGGAGTTCACATGCAAGGAGAAAGGGCTAGTTGTTTCTGAAACGTTCAAAAACTTTTGACTCAAGGTAACTCCAGTACTGTGCTTTATTCCCAGGATGATGCCAATAATGACCCACAGTGGTCGGAGGAGCAGCTCATTGCTGCAAAATTCTGTTTTGCTGGACTTGATATAGGCCAAACCGAAGTGGATATCATGAGTCATGCTACACAGGCTATTTTTGAAATACTGGAGAAATCCTGGTTGCCCCAGAACTGTACACTGGTTGACATGAAGGTACAGATAAAGAAATGTAACATAAAGCTTATAGCTGAGAAATGTCTTGTAATATAGTTTTTAAAAACCTTTCTTTGGGGATATGCTGTTTCTAGATTGAATTCGGTGTTGATGTAACCACCAAAGAAATTGTTCTTGCTGATGTGATTGATAATGATTCCTGGAGACTCTGGCCATCAGGAGATCGAAGCCAACAGAAAGACAAACAGGTAGTTAGTGCTTCAGGTTTTAATCCTTTGTTAGATCAGGTGGGATAGAGGAGAAAGAAGAGATGAGAGGAAAAGAAAGGCAATTGTTGTTTCTTATGATATAAACTTGATTTGTTGATTGTTGTTTATTTTTAAAGAAAAATATCTCCTGTATCCTGATAGAATAATAGGAATAATATTTTACATTTAAGAATTATTGGCTATGCACGGTGGCTCACACTTGTAATCCCAACACTTTGGGAAGCCAAGGCGAGGGGATTGCCTGAGGCCAGGCATTTGAGACCAGCCTGGGCAACATAGCAAGACCTTGTCTCTACAAATAAATAAAAAAATGTGCCAGGCATGGTGGTACACATCTGTAGTCCCAGCTACTCAGGAGGCTGAGGCAGAAGGTTCACCTGAGCCGAGTAGGTTGAGGCTATGGTAGCCATGATTGTGCCATTGTACTCTGGCCTGGATGACAGAGTGAGACTCTAAGTAAAAAAAAAAAAAACAGAAAAGAAGAATTCTCATGGTAGTTAATTAGTTGCTATTGTAGAAAGCCTTTAACTTGAAATGAAAATAAAAAGTAAAGTTCACTACTGAACTTTCTCTAGTTTAATTCAGGAAATACATTTTTAGTTTAAGCTATGTTTTTACATATCCCTTGCTATGTACACTCTTCATAATCCCTATCCAAAACCCAGAAATCAAATAGTTTCAGGTAGAGATAGTTTTCTAAGCTTTCTGTCTTATTTTCCAGTCTTACCGGGATCTCAAAGAAGTAACCCCTGAAGGGCTGCAGATGGTAAAGAAAAACTTTGAGTGGGTTGCAGAGAGAGTAGAGGTAAACCTTCTGTAGCAAATCTGTACTGTATTATGTGTTTTTCTTTTATGGAAATCTTGTTTGAAAAAAAATGTAGGAAGTCAGGAATGGTGGTGGCACACGCCTGTACTCCAAGCTACTCTGAAGGGTTAGGTGGGAGGTCCCTTGGGCCCAGGAGTTGGAGGCCAACTTGGGCAACATGCCAAGACCCCATTTCTAAAAAGAAATTGTGACTTCAGTGACTTCAAGAGAGAAGCACTTTTAGGAAATGTACCAGTGAGACTGTCCTGACTGGTATACTGGAACTCTGCTGTTAAGCTGGCCCGTGTACCCTTCCCAGATCCTTCTGGGGAAACCTGGAATCCCTGTCTCTCTCCACTCTTTGTAGGAGGAACCTTATATGTCCTGCCCACTTCCCCTGCCTGCTACTCAGAGGTCCATTAGCATGAGATGGCTGGGACTTGGTGTGACTGTCAAATGTCACCTTAAGTTTTATGGTATTATTACTGTAACTCCATGGAAGTTAAATGACATTTATGATTATTCAAGGGTTATAGTCACATTTGAAAACATTATTTTCATAGGAGAGTGTATTTTAAGTTGTAAGCACCTTACAAAGATTAGAATAGGACCTCTAATTTGACCAATTATGCCTGAAAGCCTCTACTAAAGAGGATATATTAAAGCACTTAAGTGCTGGGTGCAGTGGCTCATCCCTGTAATCCCAGTACTTTGGGAGGTGGAGGCAAGAGGATTGCCTGAGCACAGGAGTTCAAGACCAGTCTGGGCAACTTAGTGAGACCTCATCTCTACAATAAATCAAAAAGTTAGCTGGGGCTGGTTGCATGCACCTGTAGTTCCAGCTACTTGGAAGGCTGAGGCGGAAGGAATGCTTGAGCCCAGCAGGTTGAGGCTGCAGTGGCCGTGTGCCACTGCACTTCAGCTTGGGAGACAGGGTGGAACTTTAACTCAAAAAGAAAGCACTTAGGATGAAATGTGTCATATTATAATTTCCTGAATATTGATTAAGAGGTGTCAGTATCCTTGCTTATTATTATATTAGTAAATATGATTTGTCTGAATAAAAATTGTGTTCTTTAGGTCCTAGTTATAAAGACCATTTTCTTTCATGTAGAAAGATTTTTTTTAATCTTCTGATGTTTTGTTCTGTTTGTCTCTATCTTAAATTTAGTATGTTAAGAAACAAAATAATGTCACAACCGCTATTTTTATATGCATAAATAAATACTTCCACTATCCCCTCCTAAAAAAGAAGGTATTCTTTACATAATTTTCCTGCAAACTCTAGTTATGTAAACTGACCATTCTTCTGATACTTACTCCTATGCTTTGTGTTCTTTTTCATATCCATGTCTTTCTTTTCCAGTTGCTTTTGAAATCAGAAAGCCAGTGCAGGGTTGTGGTACTGATGGGCTCTACTTCTGATCTCAGTCACTGTGAAAAAATCAAAAAGGCCTGTGGAAATTTTGGCATTCCGTGTGAACTACGGGTAACATCTGCCCACAAAGGACCAGATGAAACTCTGAGGATTAAAGCTGAGTATGAAGGTACGCTTCATATAACTAGAGCATTGCAGGTAGCTCTTATTTTGCTAAAAGTTATACATTTCAGACTAAAAATGAGCTTTGCCACATTTCCAAGGGAAAAATCACATGATATACTCACCTCCAAAGAGCTTACTATAGGAGCTTATAAAAGAAAGGAGTGTGGAGAAAGAATTGAAAGAAAAAAAAAAAGAATTAAAAATGCCAGCATGGAAGGACATCAAAGACTAGAATTATGAGAACCTCTGGCATTTTTACCAAATGAAAAGCCTCTGGAGCTTTGTTTCTGGTATGCTTCTGTTTAGGAAACACTCCTCTGTTCTCCCTGCAGCAATCAACACAGAAGACTTCTGTGACCAAGTGGGTGGCAGTATTTCCACACCAATAAGTTGTGGACTCCTCTGGGTATCCTCCAATTCAGTTGCAACCCTGTCTACCTGGAGATAGTGTTGGATCCCACGGGTTGAGGGCTCAGTCCCAAGACTGTCCCCTCTCCTTCAGACACCATTCACAGGTCCAGGCCTCTGGAACTTCTGAACTGCTGGCTTCAAGTTGGGGTTCCTATGAGCCCTTCTTTGGAGTGGCTCACAGAACTCAGAGAAACACTTATGTTTACCAAAATATTATAAAGAATATTATAGAGGATGCAGATGAACAAACATGTAGGGTAGGGAGTGAGTAAAGGGGCTCAGAGCTTACATGCCCTCCTGGAGCATGCTACTCTCAAGGAATTGCCAGGTGTTCGGCTATCTGGAAACCCCCTGCAGCTCCAGTCCTCTTGGGTTTTTACGGACACTTCATGACGTCACCATTCCTTCCTCCAGGGTAGAGAGCAGGACCCTCTCTTTGGAGGGTCTTAAGACCCATAATTAGAAAGAGGGAAGATCAGAGTCTTGATTGGGGCAGGTGAAAGAAGGTCAGGAGGTCAGAAATTCTGTTTCCTGACCCGACATTATACATAATAAAAGACTGTAATGAGGGCCGTGGGAGTTTTGAGCCAGGAACTAGGAACTAAAACGTGTGTGTGTGTGTGTGTCAGTCAGAAGTTAAAACAGCAGGTCCTCTCAGATCTTTAATGACTGGTCTTTCCGGGGAAGCAGGCAAATATGAAGTGAAGGAATAATTTCAGAATATAGTACAAAAAATGAGATAGCGTTGATCTAAAATAATGGAGCTCTGGGTCCTCAATCAAATATTTCTCCACTGGAAAACATGTTGAGTATTCCCTCTTTCCCTCTAAAGGTAATTGCAAAGGGAACCCCTTTGATAAGGTAATGAAAGCTAGAACTCTTTTTCCAGAAATTTGCAAATATGTATAATATTGGATTCTAGGTTATAAATCTCTGCATTAGGAAGCAAAGGGATAACTTCTAAATATTCTGAATTTGTTTAAGAGATATATTTAAAAATATATCAAGGGTCTTAAATTTTTTGGATACTGTATTATTAAACTTGCGTTCAATCTTGTCTCAAGAATTCCCCCTAAGCTTCTGGTCTCTATTTCCTGGGTCTACCTGTACCTACTGGTGGAAGGCCCACTCAGCAGGAAAGATACCTATTCACTTGTTGTCTTTTTTCTTTTGGTCAACCTAAGTAGCAGAAGAGGCCTGTGGGCTGTTGCCTGATTAACACCCTGATATCCCCTTTGTACTACACATCTCAAAGATGAACAAACTGGCTGGGCGCAGTGGCTCATGCCTATAATCCCAGCACTTTGGGAGGCTGAGGTGAGAGGATTGCCTGAGCCTATAGGTTCAAGACCAACGTAGGCAACTTGGCAAGACCTCATCTCTACCATTTAAAAAAAGATGAAAAACCTATTCTAGCTACTTTATTACTGACTCACACTAAGTGACAGAGTAAACCTTATATTTTGAATGTATGTGTGATAATAGTGTCTTAGGTTTTTCCATAGAAGACTACACAAGGAACTCAAGTAATTAAGCCATATAGGCCTTATTAAAACAAACAAACAAAAAAGACAACTATCTTCAAATCTCTTTTAAGTGTGTGACATAATCATAAACCTATCATTTCCCTAGGGGATGGCATTCCTACTGTGTTTGTGGCAGTGGCGGGCAGAAGCAATGGTTTGGGACCAGTGATGTCTGGGAACACTGCATATCCAGTTATCAGCTGTCCCCCTATTACACCAGACTGGGGAGCTCAGGATGTGTGGTCCTCTCTTCGACTACCCAGTGGTAAGATGCAATGGATTTTTAAAAACTATGTTAGAAAAATTTTAAACATGTATAACGGTAGAGAGAATAAGATAATGAAATCTCGTGTACCCATTACCTGGCTTCAGCAGTTAGTATCTTGTGTCTATGCCCCTCCTGCTGGGGTATTTTAAAGCAGATGTTAGACATGTTCGTATTTTTTACATAAATGTTTGTGCATACATCTGTAAGCAATAGTAACAGATATTATGACACCATGCTTTTGAGAAAAGAAGAACTTTTTATTGTAATTTGAACAACAGAGACAGGAGTGCAGTTCAAATTTGTCTCCCCATGCTGGCTGTAGGGCAGTCATTTTATTAGAAAAGTTTTGGGGGTGGGTTCTGGCATTAGTAAGTGATTAGTGGAAGGGAAGGGGAGGTCTGAAAAGTCCTGGGCTTGCGCCGGATCACTTGTGTGAATTTGGTGGGGTTTACTATGAAACATGCTGGAGGCCTGGTGTTGTGGCTCACGCCTATAATCCCAGCACTTTAAGAGGCTGAGGCTGGGGGATTGCCTGAGCCCAAGAGTTCAAGACCAGCCTGGGCAACATGGTGAGACCTTGTCTCAACAATAAATAAAAAAATTAGCCAGGCGTGGTGGTATGTGCCTGTCATCCTGGCTACTTGAAAGGCTGAAGCAGCCGGACTCAGTGGCTCAGCCTGTAATCCCGTGCCTTTGGGAGGCTGAGGTGAGTGGATTGCCTGAGCCTGTGGGTTCGAGACCCGCCTGGGCAACTTGGCGAGACTTCATCTCTACAATAAATAAAAAAATTAGCCGGGTGTGGTAGCGCGCGCCTGTAATTCCAAATACTTGGAAGGCTCAGGCGGAAGGATCGCCGGAGCCCAGCAGGTCGAGGCTGCGGTGGCCGGGAGCGGCCACTGCACTCCAGTCTGGGTGACAGAGTGAGACTCCAACTCAAAAAAAAAAAAAAGAAAGGCTCTGAAGCAGAAGGATCGCCTGAGCCCAGCAGGCCGGTTGAGGCTTCAGTAGCCATGACTGTGCCACTGCACTCTAGCCTGGAGGACAGGGTGAGACTCTAGTCGGCCATATTGGTTCCAACCAATTTTAGCCAGTTTTGTTACCTTATAAGTGGAGAATTTCAGCAAGTTTTTTTAATCTAGCATCCTGTAAACTCAAGAATTTCTGTTAGTCATTGGTGTTTTTAACTCTTGGGGCATGGTTTCTTTTTTTTTTTTTGAGGTAGAGTCTCACTCTGTCACCCAGACTGGAGTGCAGTGGTCGCTCCCGGCCACCGCAGCCTCGACCTGCTGGGCTTTGGCGATCCTTCCGCCTCAGCCTTCCAAGTAGCTGGAACTACAGGCGCGCGCTACCACGCCCAGCTCATTTGTTTTTTATTTATTGTAGAAATGAGGTTTCACCAAGTTGCTCAGGCGGGTCTTGAACCCTCAGGCTCAGGCAATCCACTCACCTCAGCCTCCCAAATCGCGGGATTACAGGCTGAGCCACCGAGCCCGGTTAGGGGCATGATTTCAATACCATGTTCACACCTAAGAAAAATTCGTAGTAATTTCTTAAAATCATCTAATTTCTAGTTGGTGTTCAAGTTTTCTAATTGTCTCATGTTTTAAACTTGGTTCAAATTGAGATCCACCTTGGTCCTTATTGCATTTAGTTGATAGTCTCTTAAGTTTTTAAAAATGTATAACAATTTATGCTCCTTTTTTCCTTTACATTTTGTCTCTGGACTTTTCTACATTTTGGATTTGACTGATTACAGTTTTAGGTGATGGTAACCATGCTATATTTTCTTTTCTTTTCTTTTTTTTTTTTTTTGAGTTGGAGTCTCATTCTGTTGCCTAGGCTTGAGTGCAGTGGCATGCTCACAGCCACAGCAGCCTGGACTTGCTGGGCTCAGGTGATCCTTCCACCTCAGCCTTCTAAGTAGCTGGAACTGTTACAGGCACGAGCCACCATGCCTGGCTAATTTTTTTTTTTTTTTTTTTGAGTTGAAGTCTCACTCTGCCCCCCAGACTGGAGTGCAGTGGCCGCTCCCAGCCACCGCAGCCTCGACCTGCTGGGCTCTGGCGATCCTTCCACCTCAGCCTAACAAGTAGCTGGAACTATAGGGGTGCACTACCACACCCGGCTAATTTTTGATTTATTGTAGAAACGATGTCTCACTGCCCGGGCTGGTCTTGAACTCGCGAGCTCAGGCAGTCCATTCGCCTCGGCCTCCCAAAGTGCTGGGATTACAGGCTGAACCACCGAGCCCAGACTGGTGCTATATTTTCTATAAACTGGTGGTAAGATCTGTAGTAAGTTCAAGTTCAGATTATTCTTCCATGAATTCATGGTATTGAGTTTTTAAGTGAGTATGATTCTGTTACTTCTGTAAAGAAAATACAATTTTATCTTTAAAAATTGGGGCTCAAAATAAATAACGAAGACATCTCTATTGGCTGATAGAACTGAATCTCATTGAATAACTATTGTGGTTTGTTCATTGTTGTATAATATGATCTGATGTTCTATACAGTATATTGTTTTATTAGAAGTAGATTTGCGTACTAGAACCCCACACTTTTCTCACAGCTGTATCTGCTCTTGAGATGGGTTAGGTACGTAAGGACGTGAGCCCTCTGGCCTGCTCTTGTGGACTGGTGGCTCTCCAGGCGTGCTGTGCTTATGGCGTAGGTGCACCCCTTACTGTCATTCTGGAGAGTCACTTTGCCTTTCTTTAGTCTTGGGCGTCTCTTGATCCCTTGTGTCTTTTCCTTTCTTGATCTACTGCTTATTTTGCTAAAGAACATTTTTGTTAACTACATTATAAGAGTACAAGATAAACCTTGAGACATTCTGTATCTATTGTATTGAAGTTCCACACTTATTTGGCAGTTTAGAAATAGAATCTTGGTCAGATGGGTGCCTCACATCTGTAATCTCAACACTTTGAGAGGCCGAGGCCAGAGGATCACTTGGGGCCAGGCGTTCGAGACCAGCCTGGGCAACATAGCAAGACCCCTTCTTTCAAAAAAAAATTTTTTTTAATAGGCAGGCATGGTGGCATGCACCTGTAGTTTCAGTTACTCTGGAGGCTAAGGTGGGAGAATCCCCTGAGCCCACATGTCAAGGTTACTGTGAGCTATGATGATCATTCTTGGTGACAGTGTGAGATCGTGTCTTCTTAAAACCAGAAGAAAGAATTTTAAGTTGAAAATCATTTTTCCTCTGAATTTTGTAAACATTCATACTCAGTCATTGTCTTCTAGCGTCCAGAGTTGTTGATAACCCCAGTGGCTTTCCATATGGCATTCTGATGGAATAGTGGATTTTTATTAATTTTGTTTCTTTCTGGAATCTTTTAGGATCTTTTGTCTGCCCACATTTTTCTTAAATGTTGCACAGGTGTAATGGGTGAGTCTGTTTTTGTTATGAACTTCCAGTGGGCTCTTCTAATCTGGAACACTAATTCCTTAGTCCTGAAGAATTTTCTTGAATTTTTAAATTTTCTTATCCTTCCATTTTCTCTCCTCTCATTTTTAGACATATTATTTAAATTTGGAACTCCTTGCTTCTATCCTGTTTCTCTTATTACTCTACTTTTTGAAATATTTCCTCAATTTTACATCCTAACCCTTCTATTGAATTTTTCATTTTGAGTGTTTGTAAATTTCCAGGAGCTTTTTTTTATTCTCTAGACTTTTTCCTCCTGTAGCAGCCTTTTCTTGTTTGATCTTTGCAGCAACATCTTTTTAATAAAGACTGTATTTTTGTAGTCTCTTTCATGTTAGTTCCTTCCTCAGCTGTAATCCTTAGCTGTTTGTTCTCCTTTAAGAGTGGGGCACTGTTTAAAAAAAAAAAAAAAAATGCCAATTGGAAACGCCATATGAGTGGAGCTTATCAAAATTGGACTTTACTGTGGGGTGATGTGATTGACTTGTTCTTTGAATAATCCCTCACATCGGTGTCTAGGTCCTTTTTCATGTTTTGACCAGGATTACCCAGAAAACTTTTTGTCTCAATCCCCTGCCCGTAAGGAGCTGGAGTCTCAGTATGTGTATAAACTTAATCCCGTTTTCACTGTAGCATTCCTTACCTCAGTTGTACTTGGTGTCCCCCAATCTAGAGAAGCCTGGACTGAAGTCTCTTTTACCTTCAGAAAGTTAGCTCTGCTACAGTGTTTTTCAGGGGTAGATGCTCAGGTTGATGGAGTGGAGGAAGGAGAGGCCTGGACTGAAAGTAGACTTTCTGTCCTCTTTTTCTTTCCTTGTTTTTTGGGGGAGTAGCTTTTATTTTACTTTTTGAGTTGGGGTCTCACTCTGTCACCCAGGCTGCTAGAGGCCAGTGGCACAATCACGACTCACTACAGTCTCCACCTGGCTCAGGCAGTTCTGCTTCAGCCTCCTGGGTAGCTGGGACTACAGGCTCCCACCATCATGCCTGGCTTTTTTGGGGGGTAGTAGAGATGGGTCTTGATATGTTGCTCAGGCTAGTTTCCAGCTCCTGAGCCCCAGTGATTCTCCTGCCTCATCTTCTGAAAGTGCTGGGTGTCCCAAGTATCAGCCAACATGGCCAGCTAGCCCTCTTTTTAGCCCCTTTCCCTCCCATTTTCCCCTCCAGAGGTATCTGGTGCCACTAATTCCTCTACTCTTGGGGAAGTTCTGTCATTTTCTTCTCATCTTTCCTTGCTTCCTGTTTAAGTTTTCTTGGCCTGCCAGATTAGTTACCACTCTATTTGACTTTCTTTTTTTTTTTTTTTTTTTTTTTTTTGAGTAGGCGTCTCTGTCACCAGGCTGAAGTGCAGTGGCATGCTCACGGCCACCAAAGCTTCGACCTGCTGGGCTCAGGCGATCCTCTTGCCCCAGCCTTCCAAATAGCTGAAACTACAGGCATGTGCCACCATGCCTGGCTAATCTTTTGATTTATTGTAGAGACAAGGTCTCGCCATTTTGTCCAGGCCGGTCTTGAACCCCTGAGCTCAGGCACTGTTCTCGCCTTTGCCTCCCAAAGTGCTGGGATTACAGCTGTGAGCCACAGTGCCTGGCCTATTTGACTTTCAGTTGCTAAGATGTTACTGCTATTTTCTTTGTCCTTGTGTCTTTATGCCTATGTCTTTATTCCATTTCCTGTTTTCTGTTGTTGTTGTTTTACGGTGCCAGACATAAATCCTGTGCTTACTTACCATCTTTACTAGATATTTAACATTTGATTTTATAATCATCTCAAGCTAAAGTCTAGTCTAGCTATAAATAAAACCATAACCAAATTCATGCAAGAGGAATTATATAGGTATTATCCATGGAGTTTAGAAAAGAGAGAAGGAAGGAGCAAAACCTTGGCAGTTTTTATCTAGTACTGTTCAAGAAAAGAGGCAGTCTGGTAGATTTGTATATAAAGGTCACTAGAATTGGGGATAATCTTTTGAGGAACAGTTGTATAGTGGCTTGTGTGGTTTTGTGATTTTTTTTTTTTTTTTTTTTTTTTTTTTGAGTTCTCACTGCTGCCCAGGCTGGAGTGCAGTGACATCATCATGCCTCACCACAGCTTCTACCTCCTGGGCTCAGGAGATCCTTCTATCTCAGCCTCCCGAGTAGCTGGGACTACAAGTGTGTACCACCATACCTGACTGATTTTTTTATTATTTGTAGAGATGAGGTCTCACTATATTGCCCAGGCTGGTCTTGAACTCTTGGAATTTTTTTTGTTTTTTGTTTTGTTTTGTTTTTTTATGGAGACAGGCTCTCACTTTATCACCCAAGTTAGATTACCATGGTGTGACTGGGTTCACCACAGCCTTGACTTCCTAGACTAAAGTGATCCTTCCATCTCAACCTCCCAAATAGGCTACAGACATGCGCCACTGTGCCCATTAACCTGTCATTTTTCTTCCTCTGGTGTCACACTCAGTTGATAACCTAGGCTAATCTGCTATCAGAAGGGGATTCCTGAGCAGTTAGGCATAGATACTTTAGACATCATAGTGATGGTTGACATTCATTGAGTACTGTGTGCCAAGCAATGCTCTAACAACTATATATGTATTTGTAACTCATGAATCATCATATAAGATAGCTACTTTTTGGTATTCTCTTATAGATTAGGACACTAAAACTAATAATGTTAAGCGACTTGCCCAATGCCACAAAATAAGTGGCAGAGCTGCATAAAACAATTTATTAATACAAACTGAAAATCTGGCCTATGATTTGTGCTTTAGTCTGTTCTTATTGTAGATAGTGCGAGTCAAAGAACCTGATGAATTCCACGAATAAGAAAATGGAGCTTTTAGATCTATATGCTTGTCAGTCCTTGACCCTGTAAACACTGCATGTGATAGTACCACCTCAAGAAACTGCCTCCACAGACATGTGGCCTCCAAGGATGTTACTTTCTTATTCTGCAGTCTTTTGGAACTTGTTATTACTGAATTTATTTGTAACTTGACATTTCTTTTTTTTTTTCTTAATTTTTATTTTAAAGATGTGGGGTACAATTCAGGGTTAGGTATACAGCTGGTCATTGTATAGGTAAAGTTTGGGGGAACTAAACATTTCTTAACAGTATTCTTTGGGTTTGACTCTTACTGCTTAAAAATGTTAACATAGTTCAAGTGCAAAAACAAAGATTAGCTAGGAAATTATCAAAATAACATACCTCAAGTTTGTCTAAGAAAGAACGGGGTGCTTATGCAATGCTCTGAGCACTTAATCTATATTTATCTTGCCCCTTGTTTTACTTCTTTGCCATTCACAAGGGATTTAAAGAGAAAGCATATGTGAAAAGTTTCAAAAAGGTAAATTTCTTTGCAAATGGATTCATCAGTGAGAAGCAATGGCAGACAAATAGTACTTCGCCTCTTAGAATGTTTTTAACCACTCCAGTGTGAAGGAAACACCTTGCTCAGAGCCTACTTTAGACAAAAATAATGTGGTAGCTTTTTATTTTCTGTGGCTAACAGGACTGCTCTGAGTATAAAATCGTTTGTGAGGTTGTATTTTCATTATTAACTGACAGCTCAATTTTCTTTTTCTTTCTGAACCAATAGGTCTTGGCTGTTCAACTATACTTTCTCCAGAAGGATCAGCTCAGTTTGCTGCCCAGATATTTGGATTAAACAACCATTTGATATGGGGCAAACTGCGAGCAAGCATTTTGAACACATGGATTTCCTTGAAGCAAGCTGACAAAAAAATCAGACAAAGTAATTTATAAGAAAGAACATCATTGCATTTTTTAGGGGAAAAAAACTACAAAAAATTTCTAGTTTAGCTGCAGGGAAAAAATCAAGCCAGATGAAAAGATGATTTTAGATCTGAGAAAAATAAAATGTATTAGTGAATAAATGCTTTTCTGAATTCATGGATTAGTAGAATGTCAGTTTGCTTATTAATATTTCATCACAAGTAGTGAAATTATTATTAGGACATTTTAAAGTGACTCTTCCCCCACTGTATGGTTATTTTTAGATAGATAATAAATGTTTTATAAATGCTAATACTGGGCAACCCCTTCAGGTCCCCTCCCACTGTAGGAACTTTTCTGTCCTCCCAATAAATCCTGCTTTCTGAAAAACAATAAAATAAAATAAATACTAATACTGTCTTATAAAGCTCTAAAGTTAATGCTGTGCCTTTTATAGCTCACCGGTAAGCTTTAGAAAGTTAAAATGGCTATACCTTAGGTAGTAAGAGCGATATAGTTCTTTCACTTTAAGGTCTCTACAAAATTCTAAGGGCAGCTTTTTTATTTGTAGGCAGTATTTCAGAAAGTAATGTGTATTTATATGTATCTTTATCCTATGGACTTTTTTTTTTTTAAGAAAAGTTGAGATTGGAACCAGGGGTAGGTGTGACACAAGAACGAAGTAGGGTGGAGGGGCACTGTGGAAGTTGGGGACTGGGGACTTTTGTGAGACCTCTGATGAATGTTAGGGCAATTGTCTATGGAAGAAAGTAGAGTTGTCTTTGCCATCCTAAAGGATAGACTTAGTAAATCTTACCTGGCTGTGTATGTGGGTGCCTCTTTGGATCATAAACTTTTCATTCTGATAATTAACCTATTTTAGCCACACCAACAATCAGCACCCTATCATCATTTTCCCCAGTCAACAACCATAGTTAGTTTCTTAAATAGTATAAATCCAGGCAATGGACCTAGCAAGTTTCACTTTCGTAGGACCAGGTGTGTTATTTGAATCTGACCTAACATGATTTGGTCTGAATTGATCCCATTGCACTGCAGCTACCATTCATCTTTGCCATGTTCATCAAATATACATTCCAGATTTGCTCTTCAGATTCACTTTACTATTACACAAACTGAGTCTCTGTTCTCTTCATCTCTTGCTCCGCTGGCTCCTTATGTTTCTTGGTATACCATGGCTACCTTGTGATTTCCTGCCACCTCCCAGTATCAGCTACTGTGCCACTGAGCTCACAGCAACATGGAAAATCTAGACAGAGTGAAGTGGCATATTAAAGACTGTTATGTAAACTTACCCTTATTCCACTATACCTTTTTTCTTTTTGTTAAGCATCAATGAAATCTTACAGTTCACCTTCAACTCATACACCAGTATCTGGAAATCACTTACATTACACAGCCCTAAGAATGTTCTAGATTGCTCAGTGTTAATCTGGGTGGCCATGAACCATTTGAAATTAGATGTAACATTCTATGGACATGTTCATTTTTATGAGAAGGGGGCAGTTATCTTCAATGATACCCGTGTCCTCCAAAACGTGAAGTCCCTGGTACTGACCTTCACTGTCTATATTTCACCATCTCTCAGCTGTTCATAAGCTGCTCTCCTCGTACTTGTTTCATCTCACCCATGGGGTGTGATTTACCCCTTTGTTCTTGGGCTGGACACTCAGTCTTGATCGCTTTTTCCCCCCACACTTCTTCCTTAAGTATTGGTGTTCTCCAATCTAGATTTTTCTCCCTTGTTTATTAGTACTGACAGGCCGTATGAATTCCTTCAGTTAAAACTAACATCATTGACTCCCAGCTCTGCCTCCAGGCTTGCTTTCAGTCGTCCGTTCTCCCTGTCTGTTACCTGGGCACACATATCACAGCCAGCATGCTCCTTGCTGTCTTATCTTCCACCAACCCTGTAACTCTTGGTTCACTCACTGCCACGTAGGAAGCTTCATTTCATCTTTGATGGTTTTCTCTGACCTTTCTCATCTCATCCATCATCAAGTCATGTTGGTTTTAATTTCTGGTTAGCCCTTGAATTCACCCTGTCTTATTCTATCCGTACAAAAGTCTCAAGTGAGGATCAAATTCAGCATTATCCTGATAAAAGTGCCCTGCGGGGGTCCAGCCCCACAAGGGTTGTGAGATTTCCTGAAGGAGAGACAGATAGGCAAAAGATGAAGATAATATACTTGGACACCTGATTCCTGAACAGATGACAATTTAATGTTAGTTAACACAGAGCTTTTATACCATTCATAAAGGGGCAAGACAAAGAAAACTCCTTCACGTACATATGCTTTATAAGTTACCACCATCTAGTGGTCTAGAAGCGACAAACAAGCCAAGAACACTATCTACTTTTAGTTAATGAGTCTTTATCATAAAGCCAAAAATGATAGTTTTAGTTCAAAGTCCCGAATTACAGTCCTTGAAATGTCTTAAGAAAGTTTCCAAGTGCAAAGTTCTTCATGTAGCAGTAGTTTTCCCATCTGGGGCTTTTATGACCTTCAGAGCTTTGTGATCGCCTCTCTTGTCCAGGTGTCTTTGTTATTTTTCTCTTATCCTGCAGTGTTTGTTTCTAAAGAGAACTCAAAAGAAGCTTTAGTAATGTTTTCCAGGCCCCCAAGGTTGCTTTCTGTCTTTAGCTAATCTATCATAAAAGTGTCTGATTAGTATATTATGAGTTCAGTGAAAACCCACTTTATAAATGTTTAAGAACTTAGAGTTTTAACTATTGAATTAAGTAAAAACCTTAACTAATAATCTTTATCCTAAGTCAGTGAAAAGTGTTATAAGTCATCTACATAACTCCTAGATAAGTGTTAGAACTTATAATGAATTCATAATGAACTTACTATAAACTTGTGCTTCTAAAAAACCTTATGTCTAAACACTAAACTACATAATTCTAAGTCAAATAAGGAGTGAATACTTATATCATCTATTACTTAAGCAATATCTAGTAACTTATAACCAAGTGAAAGAAAGCGTTTTTGATGTGCTTCAGAGTTTAACCCTTGCATATGTTAGAAAAGGCCAAGCGGCATAGTGGGAAAATGGAAAAATGAACCATGACATTTCCAGGTTAGCTGTGAGTACTTCACATAAACATGCCAGTTTCTTCTTCCACGACTGCACAGAATTCTTTGGCGGTATCAAACAGCAAAGGTGGAAGACAGATGGGCCTCAGCTTCCCGGGCTTGCCCTGCGGCCCGGGGTCTTCGGCCCACCAGGACTCTGTTAATCAGGTAGGCCTCCAAGGCTGGCTCCCAACAGTGCCCGTTCTCAACCCAGCCTTTTCCAGGATGACTCCCCAAGACCTTCTAACATTTAACATCTAATATAAAATAGATGAAAGAAAATAGATTAAAAATACACAAAAGGTAAGTTTTATCTATTTTGTACCATAGACTTTTATTTTTTGAATTGGAGTCTCACTCTGTCACCCAGGCTGGAATGCAGTGGCAGGTTCACGGCCACCACAGCCTCAACCTACCGGGCTCAGGCCATCCTTCCAACTCAGCCTTCCAAGTAGCTGGAACTACAGGCATGCGCCACCACACCCAGCTAATTTTTTGATTTATTGTTGAGATGAGGTCTTACCAAGTTTTCTGAGCTGGTCACGAACCTGTGGTCTCAGGTAATCTTTGGCCTCCCGAAGTTCTGGCATTATAGGCATGAGCCACCATACCTGGCCTACCATAGACATTTAAGAAAATATACTGTTGGCCCTCTCCACAAAAAACTGCACTTACAAAATGTACCAATAGATTTCATTAGTTCTTAGGTTCTCTTGAAGCCTATCCATGGACTGCCACACACTTGTAGCTCCAGTTCTTTGAAGGCCATTTTTATCATTAAAATCTTGTTAGTTACTAGAGCTTCATCTTCACTGTCTCCATGATGCATTCTGTCACCACAATGGCTACAAGTAGTTCTCTGTTAGAATGTGAGCTCCAGAATAGGGGATGTCATTTGACACTTTATTTCCCTCACACTTAATCTTCCAATATGCTATGCCCAGCTTATATTCCAGAGATGGGTGACCTGTAAAACTCATGTGTGCTAAACTTTTTCTTGTGCTAGTTGCAAGAACAAAGATTTAAGAGGTTAACATCTTTAAACTTGGGCTTCATAGTCTCTGAATAGTTATGTGCTGTTCTTTCAGCTTATTTACCCTTACCTAGCAAAGATGCTACCTATTTCTGTGCAGAACTTGAGAAAGTTAGCCTTTATTCAGACTGATGGATGGTTCTGACCTTTCTTCTCAATGGTCATTATCAATTTCATTATTAGTTTTTTAGTAGACTGCATATATCCTCAGTAGTACTAGTTTATTTGTGCTAGAGTAAATATTTGAATGTATTTCTACTGCTTGTAAAAGTAACTTAAATCTACCTGGTCTGCCATCTTTGGGTGTTTATATGTATATTTTTGTTGTTGTTGGAAATCTCATTGTTGTTGAGGCTGGAATGCAGTGGCACAATCACAGCTTACCACAGCAATCCTTCCTCCTCAGCCTCCCAAGTAGCTAGGGTCATAGGAATGAGCCACTGCACCCAGCTGGGCATTTGTGCTTTCAGTGGGCTTGTGGAACTTCATATAGTGTTTTGAAATTGTTTGACCCTGGAAGACTCCCAGACTCATTGAGAGCAGAAATTGACATGATTGCAGTTGCAGCTTCTTATATAGTAGGTTGTATCAGCCAGGGTCCTCCACAGAAACAAAACCAATTGGATACACAGGTTTATTACGGGGAACTGGCACAGCTAAAGGGAGGCCGAGAAGACCCCTGATATGCCTTCTGCAGACTGAAGGCTCAGGAAAGCCAGTGTGTGCGGTTCCAGTCCAAGCCTGATGGCCTGGAAACCCAGAGCACCAGCGTCTGAGGGTAGAAGACGGACGCCCCAGCAATCCACCCTTCCTCCTTGTGCTATTCCATCCCTCAAAGGACTGGATGATGCCCACCCACACTGGTGAGGCCAATCTTTACTCAGTCTACAGATTCAAATGCTGGTCTCTTCAGAGACACCCTCACAGACAAACTCAGAAGTGGTTTCACCACCTCTGTGGGCATCCCTTAGCCTAGACAAGTTGACGTATAAAGTTAACCACCAAACAGGCACTCAAAATTTATTTTTACATTAGTGGATTCGGCCATTTTTGGTTTCTGAGAAGATTCCATGTACAGCTTGTCATCAACTCTAAGCCAAACAGAAGAAACACTTAGCTCCATTTTACATATGAGAACCTAAGCTCAAAAGACTGATCTGCTTGATAAATATTTTGCATCTCATTCCACAATTTCTACTGTATCACAATGTAAAATTAACAACTCCACCTCAAGTACTTGAGGTGTGGGAAGTTGAATACAAACACACCATTAAAAGCAGTCACTTCCCATGGCCTAAGGACTGCTGGGCTGAAAAGGTAGGAAGTCTGGATGCACCATGCATACCACATATTTTTAGAAATTAAATCAGCTGATGGGAATATTGAAGTCAAGGTAATTTTCATGGTGAATTAATTTCACTCACACCATCCTCTACATAGTCTTCCAAATGGCTATTACGTAATACTCTCATGCTGGAATGTGCTTTACATATATAGACTTACAGTATTTAATTTTCACAACACTTAGGAGGCAGGTGGTGCTATTAGTCCCATTTGACACGTGATAAAATTGAGGCACAAAAATTGTAGCATGTTAAAGGTCACAAAATCCCTCACCTGGACTATAATAAATAGTCTCTTAACCAGTTTCTGCTTCTCCTCTTGTGCAAACAACAGCTAGAGAGAACTTTTAAACATGTTAAGCCAGGGGGTAGTGGTTTACCTGTAATCCCAGCACTTTGGGAGACCAAGGCAGGAGGATCGCTTGAGCCCAGAAGTTTGAGACCAGCATGGGCAACATAGCGAGAACTTGTTTCTACAAAAACAAAAACAAAATTTAGCTAGGCATGGTGGCACACGCCTGTATTTCCAGCTACTTGGGAGGCTGAGGTGGAAGGATCACCTGAAACCAGGAATTTGAGGCTGCAGTGAGCCATGATTATTCCACTGCACTTCAAGCCTGAGTGACAGGGTCAGACCTCAACTAAAAAAAAAAAAGTCTTAATATGGAATAAGGACATGGTACTGTGAACACTTAAAGTAGGAAAAGCTATCTGCTCTAAAAGAAGTTTATACTGTTAACGTAAAGGACTCTAACCCTCCAGTCTATACTCAATTTTTTTTCATAGACTCTATTACCACTAAATATAGGATATATTTGTCTTATTGCCTAGCTCTCCCAACTAGAAGATAAATTCCACGAGTACACCATTGTCTTTGTTGTCAGTTGTATTCCTAGCAGTTAATATAATAAGACTCTCAAAAGTTTGTTGAATGAATAAAAGTACAAATTCCTAGAGGTATGGGGACGTGAAATGGCACTTAATATTAGAGAAGTAAATCTTGCAAGGGGGCCAGGGAATGAGTAACACAAGACGCCTTTCAGTTGGGGAGGTGGCAAGCAGAGGTCAGATCACAGAAAAACCTACTGTAAGGTTTTGCAAGTGGATTTTATCATGAGGGCAGGAGAGTGACAGCAAGATAGTGAATCAGAAATTCCTAGCAGAGGAATTCTGAGGAAGCACACGGGGATCAGATTGAAACAAACCCAAACTGCCAATCCTTACACAAAGTCAATATTCTAAACAGAAAGCTCTACTAAGGCAGTGGTTCTCAACTTTTGGAGGGGAGGGTGGATACAAACACCTTTGGAGAGACTGATGGGATCTTCAAAATCTCAGAAAAACAAAACCCAACAAAATTTGGGGTATACCCTATGTCATCTAAAACCCCCTGCCCGAAACCTAGGCATTAACTGGCTTGCAACCTTCGACAATTCCACAGTCACTGAACATCCAAAGCTCTTCTCGTGATTTACTAATTCACAAGAATTATACCCTCCGGGGCCTGGAGTTCAAGCCTCCTGCGGTGCTGCCTTAGCATTGGAATGCATTGACCAGACGGGAGAGCGGCAGGGCAGGCACAACACAGCCGGGAGCTGTGCACAGTTTCTGCCCTCAAGGAACTCAGAGGTTAAGTGAAAAATATGAAGCAACCACTCAGAGTTAAAAACTGAGTAACAACCATGCAGAGTGTCAGATCCTGGGGATACTGCAGTCAGCAGGGCAAATATGGTCTCTGGCCTCACTGAACTGTAGCCCACACAGCAAGACAGGCCTTGAACGATGCCCAGTGCTCTGCAGAGAGCCCTGTGAGAGAACCAGAACCTGTAACCAGAATGTTGCCCAGTCTGCAGGGTCAAAGACTTCCTCAACGAAGCGACTTTTAACTCAGAACAAGAACGATATAGAAAAGACTGAAGTATGCAAAGGAGTTAGCTAGATTGCTGGGAGAGAGGAAGTCGCAGAGGCTGTGAAAGTCATGATAAGGTACGCTCTGCAGTGTTGGCCGTTCCATAAAATGCTGCCACATCAACAGATATCCACTCCCTTTTCACCTCGGAACACACCTTGATGTTTAAGGTCTTGTACAAACCCTAAGCTCCTTATGCCTCTGCGTTGCTTGGGTGCTTACTATGCACCAGACGCATGAATTCTCTTATCTCCCTAGAACCAACATATTACCCCTATGTATAGTCAGGAAATCTGAGATTCCACGCGGCTAAGAACCTTGGCACTGCCTGGCATCTAGACAGTCGCAGAGCCAGGAACTGGACCTGGGTATTTCCACCCCACTTACCCTCCCAGCCTCATCGCAAATAAGCTCCTGAACTGGGACCAAGGAGTTTTCATCGAACGTGCTTTGCAACTGGGGATTCTTTCCCTCTTCTGTACCTCTCCCGACGTTCACTTCTCTGCTGAAATTTCCTCCCCAGGACCGACCCCGGGTTCTCTTAATCGTCTTTTAAGATCAGCCGGGTGCGGTGGCTCCCACCTGTAATCCCACACTTTGGGAGGTTGAGGCGGGAAGACTGCCTCAGCCCAAGAGTTCCAGACCAGCCCGGGGCAACATGGCGAAACCCCGACGATACAAAAACAGCTAAGGAGGAAAAAAAAATTAGCCGGTCGTGGGAGATGCGCGCCTGTAGTCCCATCTACTCGGGAGGCCGAGGCGGGAGGATCCCCTGAGCCCAGCAAGTCCAGCCTGCCGCGAGCCGTGATCATGGCACTGCACTCCAGCCTGGGCGACAGAGGGAGACCCCGACTCAAAAAAAATAAATAAATAAAAAAGAGAGAGCGACCCCTTTGAAATGCCGATTCCTAGGTGCTGTACTCCCAGCCACCACCACCGGGCAGCCGGGCGGATGCCGGGCTTTCTCCTTCACTCGCTTCCTTACGGCTCCGAGTCGCCCTTCATTCAAGGATTTTTTTTTTTTTCCCCGCGCTACCACGCCCGGCTGGTTTTTCATTTATTGTAGGGACGAGGTCTCACCAAGTTGCCCGGGCTGGTCTCGAACCCGCGGCCTCAGGCCATCCACCCGCCTCGCCCTCCCAAAGGGCTGGGAAGACAGGCTGAGCCACCGAGCCTGGCCAGTCATGGCTTTTATTGCTCTCCCGCGGACGGTCGCCCCGCCCCCCGGCCGGACACGCCCCGACCTCGGCGGTCGCCCGGAAGCCCGCAGCTTCGAACCCACACCGGAGAGCCCCTTCTAGTCCCCTGCCGGCGCCCGAGGCCTCTCTCCTCCAGACCCACTCCCGGCGGGGCGTCGCCACTCCGTCCACGCGAATGTCTCGCCCCAGGAGCGGACGCTCACGTTTCGGACGCCGTCTCGCGGCTGAAGACGCTCCCGGGGCCGCGAGGCTGGGCGATCCTCGGCTTCCACCCCGGCGGGGCCCGCCCCGGGATCCTCTTCCGGGGCAGAGGTCGCCCCGCCCCGCCCCTCCCTTCCTCCAAGATGGCGAGCGGCGGCGGCAGCGGCGGCGGCGGCGGGGCCGGGGTTTCGGTGCCTGCGCTGTGGAGCGAAGTGAACCGCTATGGCCAGAACGGCGACTTCACGCGCGCTCTCAAGACCGTCGGCAAGAGTGAGTGTCGGGCGGGTGCCGGGGCGAGCATTGACCAGACAGCCGGCGGGAGGATGCGGCCTGCTTCCGGCGCGCGCGACCCCTCGCGCAGACGCGGGGCGGCGAGACCCCCGCGCGCTTCCCTTCCCCCACGCCTGGCTCGGGCCCGGGTGCCGG